ATTTACAAAAAAAAAGTTCTCTGATCTTTAGAGTTTTATTTATTTTTGTATGATTTTAGTTTGATTTGTTTAGAATTGTAATTTGATAAATCAATAATTGAGTTCATTTTCTAAATAATTAGGGTTTTGCTAATTCCCTTGTTTGTTTTGATTCCAAAAAGCAACTAGCCTTGAGTTTCAATAGAATTTGGTTCTTGTTTAAGTTTCATAGATGGATTGAGGTCCTTAAAAAGATTTTTATTGAGTTGATTGATAAGGTTTGGTATTTTCCACAAAATATTTGGAAAAAACATGTCTTGTTTGGTGGTTTTTGCCAACTAGTCTTTGATGTTTGAAGTTTTATTAATCCTTTCCTCATCCATCCATGAACTTAAAACATGTTTGCTGACTCTTATACATCTCAAGGATGCTAAGAAAATTTTTGTTTGAATTATGGAAGCCCTTTTCTTTTTTTGATGTATTTTTGAAGTGAAGGTACCCAATTAATGTTGCATATCTTGTGTTAATTTGCTTGATGGCCAATGAAATTGAGTGAGGCCTATAATTGGGAAGCTAATGATCATGTTGGTTCTGTTTATCGACATAAACTCAAGTCATTTCACTTAATGCCCCATGTTTGAATTATTGAACCTTTTGATGCATGTTTCATGACTTTTTGCTTTCTTGTTGATCTTCACTTTGAAACTTGAGCTTTCAATTTGAGTTTGAGGTCATTTAGATGGCCAATGATAACATGAAGGAAAATGATACGTCAATTATAGTCTCATGAGGACTTGATAGTAATTGATCCCTATTACTTAAATTAGTTCTAATCATGAATAGAGTTTGGTTTCTTTCTTTTATCCTTGTTGAAGTTTTTAGGAATTTTGAATGCACTTGTGTAGCATGTCATAAAATCAACACTTTAAACTTTTGGTCATGTCCTAGTAATGTTTTGGAAGCTTTACTTCAAATCTTTAATCGTTGCAAACTCTCTAATTTTGTCCTTGTTTGACTTTCTTCCATGGTTAGCTTGAAATCTAAGTCTTTGATGCATTGTGTGGGATTCCTCTCCTATTATGCTTGTGAGCTGTGATGAAGTATTTGAGTATGATTGAATTGTGGTTGCTACTTACCTTCATGGTCTTTGATTGTATTCTTCTCAAGCTCCCATGATCCTTGATTGATATTCAATTGTCAATTCAATATGGCGATAGTAAGGAGCAACATTCCTCTAACTTTTAACCAAATTGTGCATATGCATGTTTCTTTTTGTTTATCATATATAATGCTTTTATAGTTTCTATCATGTTTTCTCACTTCATTATGGTGTCATCATCCATCCCTTATGTGAGTCATCATTCTATTTATGGGAATACTAACTTAGCTGTTGAATTCGCGAGGTACTCTGAGAAAAGTTTTCCATTTTAAGTTGAGGCTACTGTGTTTCACTTTATTTGTGGAACACAATTTATTATATTGGTACTACACTTGTGCTTGGCATATTTGATAGTCTATGCAGGATATATGTATGTGATAATGAATGCTATACACTGCCCATGGGATTTGTTCATATCTTGAAATCTCAATACTTACATCCTGATGGCGTAATTTCTGACTTGATTTGTCTACTGATGCCAGCTTTCTTGAAGTTCTATGGGTTTCTTTTATTCTTGCTCAGTTGCTACGGATAGTTATCCTTTGGTATTGCACTATTTTCTTTCTTTTATTTTCATTTTGTATAGTTTTATGGTGCATGATGGGACCTCTGTTGCTGATATATGACAGGAGGCCCTCTGTTTTGTTTGATACATGTGTTGTGTTTGTGTTTGTTTCTTTAACTATTGATCGATTAGTCACTCAATTTAGAAATTGAGATCACGACTTCGCTCTCAGTTCATGTTCCCCATAGGATATTTTTCTTTAATTGTTGATCGATGAGTCACTCAATTTAGAAATTGAGATTACAACTTCTCTCTCAGTGCATGTTCCCTATAGGATATTTATTGTTTTTTTAATTGTTGATCGATGAGTCACTCAATTTAGAAATTGAGATCACGACTTCGCTCTCATTGCCTGTTCCCTATAGGATAGTTTTGTTAAGCTTCCTTTGACATGTTTATTAAGGTATGAACCCATGTATGCTAGCATAGGGTAGGAATTTCCTTTATCCTCAACCTTAGGGTCAATCATTGTATGATAACACTAGGGATAGTGCTAGGCTAGGTTCCCTTAGTTGTTTTTCCTTCCTTTGCATTTTGCATCTTAAAACAAAAATTGTTTTCTTGGCAAATCATAAAACACCTCTAATAAACTCAAACCCTTCTTCAAGGTAAAAGATATAAATCAATCTTATTTGTTTGGGCGCCTCTTAGATTTGTTTTGTCATCCGGTTTATTGTTGTTTCGCCATCTTTGCCATGATACCTTGTTATCTTTTAGCCGATGCTTCGCCATCGCACATTTGTTTGAAGCCAATATTTCGCCATCGCACATGTTTGTTATCCTACTTTGATTCTCAATATCATTGTTAGGTGTGATGTTTTGTCATCTGGTTTATTGATGTTTCGCCATCTTTGCCATGATACCTTGTTATCTATTAGCCGATGCTTCAGCATCGCACATTTGTTTGAAGTCGATGTTTCGCCATCACATATGTTTGTTATCCTACTTTAATTCTCAATATCATTGTTAGGTGTGATGTTTTGTCATCCGATTTATTGATTTTTCACCATCTTTGCCATGATACCTTGTTATCTTTTAGACGATGCTTCGCCATCGCACATTTGTTTGAAGCCGATGTTTCTCAATCGCACATGTTTCTTATCCTACTTTGATTCTCAATATCATTGTCAGGTGTGATGTTTTGTCATCCGATTTATTGATGTTTCGCTATCTTTACCATGATACCTTGTTATCTTTTATCCGATTCTTCGCCATCGCACATTTGTTTGAAGTCGATGTTTCGCCATCACACATGTTTGTTATCCTACTTTGATTATCAATATCATTGTTAGGTGTGATGTTTTGTCATCCGGTTTATTGATGTTTCGCCATATTTGCTATGATACCTTGTTATCTTTTAGCCGATGTTTCGCCATCGCACATTTGTTTGAAGCCGATGGTTCACCATCGCACATGTTTGTTATCCTACTTTGATTCTCAATATCATTGTTAGGTGTGATGTTTTATCATTTGGTGTTTCGCCATCTTTGACATGTTACTTTGTTATTATTTAGCCAATGTTTTACCATCTCATTTGTTTGTTGTTTCATTTGATGTTTCGCCATCTTGACTGTTTTTGTTGTCTTAACTAAAAAACACAAACCAACTAGAATATATGAGCCAAACTACGGCTTCTCTGATTCCTTAAAAGGGATACGTAGGCATTGGGGTAGGGCCCAACCGAGCACAACTTTTATTTTCCCTACATTGTTTTCTTTTCTCGCATGCATTCCCTTTTTAGCTTTAAGCCATAGACATAGGTTTTGACCACACCCATTAGATTAGACAACAAGAATGGATACCTTAGAGTACTACGGGTGTGTGGGGTGCTAATTACTTCGCCTCGCGTAACAGACTCCCTTACCTGATCTCTCGGTAGAAAGACCTTGACTTCTCCCTCTTCAGGTTTTCTCGATATTTACCTTTCCCTTTCGGTGGGATAAAAGACGTTTGGTGGCGACTTCATTGATATTTCATTATAAGGTTCCGCCAGGTCATTACAACAATTTTGAAAATCTGATCTACCAAGCCGAGGGCGAAGGCGAGGGAGATTGTGAGACACTAGAAGAACTTTTCCATACCCCAAATTGTCCCGCCCCTTATTTCTACAATCAAAAAATATTTTAAACATGGTTTTTATAATATTATTTGATTTGTATAAATATTCTCTTACAAACCTTTTTAAAAATTTAATAATTTACTTCAGATCATTTGTATTTTTGAATAAATAATCATTTGCATACCTTTCGTATACTTTCAAATTGAGTTTACTTATAAATCAGTAACATAGCACAATTGGTGAAGAATAAAGCTTGGAAGCATAAGATCAGGAGTTTGAATCTCTTGTGTCGTACTTTCAACATTTTCTTTTTTTCTTCTTCTATTTTTTGTCTCTAATTCTCTTTCCTTTTTAAATAGGTGTTTCTTATTGGCCATTTGATGTCAATTTGTATCACACTTTGTTTTTGATTGGTCAATTTTGTTTTATTTTCAATTTGGATGGTTTTTTATCTATAAATAGGACATGTTTTTCACACTTCTAGATCATCCACAATATACACAATTCATCCAGAACCTCTCGCATATCACTACACACAATTTTGCAATATCTTTTCAAAACTCTTTTTCTTCAAAACTTTGATATTTATTTTATGCCGATGATTTCATATGAGCCCCCTCCCTAATTATAAGTTGTTTGTTTTTCAATTGAATGATTAAACGAACACTTTTACAATTTCACAATACATGTGTTTTTGGTTTTAATTTGTAACTACATCATGTATAAACTGAGGGTTTTCTTTTATATATAGTTTGAATGCTTTTTTACATATAACTCCTTGTTATACATACATTCTCATTCCACAATTTGTATATATTTTGTCTGTTAACAATTTTACTCATTCTAATTTTATCACACACTTTATACATATTTTATATAGAAATTAGAATACACTTTGCCCATAATTTTATTACATGAAAGCAATTTGTACATGTGGATTTTGTCTAACACACTCTTGAAAATCATCAATTTACCTTCACCAATACAATCCAGTAACAACATAATTACACATTTACACTCATAACACAATAATAGAAATTTCCAAACCACATAACATGTCAAAATATCTGGTATGTTATTCTAATAATCTGCAGGTTCAACAAAAGAAGAAACACTAACAAAGAAATTCTATCACAATCTTCCAAACTTCCATTAACTTATTAACCTATTACTAATTCATTATTATCACAAATAATTAATATAAAAATATAAATCAAATTCAATAAACACTACATTCATTATTTGTCTTTTGCTTGTTGTGTTTGCAGAAAGACAGAAAAAAGAAGTAGAACCGATAAACATAAAGTTCCTTCACATGCCTTTGCATCTTGCTCTTCGACAACAACATCTGACTCTGTAGATCTTCGGTGCACCTTACACAAACTGTAACAACAAAGAAATGCGGGACATATATAAAGAACAATAATCAAAGTTTATCACAAAAAAACCAGTTCGAAGAACAATGAAGAATCAGGAAAAAAATATTTCTCCGTAAGTACTCTGTAGACCAACGACTGCCATCAGTGATGCCGCTCAAAAACCTTTGAATTGTAAATAGCTTCCGACGCGACCGCCACCACCCTTGCCAGATTTTTGACGAAGCTCGAAGCAGCGGTTTTCCACACATCTACATCAGATCTCCACCAATCAGGTTCCTCTTTTCACGATTCATGTTTAAGGAGGCGTCAATATATTTTTTTTGTTTCTAAAACTATGAAAGAAACAAGATCATTGGAGAAAGGTTGATGTTAGTGTTGTTGGTTTTTTTTTCTTTGAAAGAGAGAAAAGAGATCGAGAGAGAAAGTTAAATAACAGGGATGGTGGATCGATTCTGATGTACTGATCCAGTTTATCTCTATTTTCATTTTGGCCTTTTCTTCCTACCACTTGTCAAATTCCGGTTGGATAATTGAATTGGTGGAAAAGTCAATTCTTTTGTTTCTCTTTTAGTTTCTCATACTGAAGTGAAAAGAGGCGCTACCCTAGGTGTGTTGGAGTGATGATTAATGTCCTGTTAATTTTTATTCAGAGATTATATCAATTTTTTTAGTGTAATGGATTTTGGGTCACTCTTACTAATCTTAAATCATAACTTAACACCCCTGTCTTAGTAATTTACCCTTAAGTTAGATTAATTATATTTTTTTAATTATAGATATTTAGGTTAATTTAATTTATTTCTAATTATATTAATTCTACAAAGTTTTAAAATATAAGATATGTTTTTATTATTGCTTAGATCAATTAGTCTGTTTAGTTTGTGCGTAATCATATATTTTTCACGTTAATTAATTTAATATTGTACAAAGATATTACTAAACCTCTCCCTACATTTTGATCCTGAATTCAATATCTGAATTCAGGCCCATACTATAAATAACTTTCTATTTTACACACCCTTTCAACTTAATTAATCATACTTTTTAAGTATAGTTATTTGTTTATTTACGTCGACTAAATTGAATAGTTAGTTTATTTTATTTTAATTAAAAGTCTAAGATATAAAAATGATAGGTATAATTTTATTTGTTTGGTAAGTTAGATTAATTAGATTAATGTACTTGTATCAAACTTTTCTCTATAGAAAAATAATTAATTTAATATTTTATATCAAAATATTAAAACCCACGCAATCTCAAATATTCCATCCGCGAGAAACATATGGCCAATATCTGATCACGTGATGAGGAAGAATATATAAGACTTTCTTTGTATCCTTTATGACGAGTAACACGTGACCATTAACTGGCCGCGTGATGAGGAGACTATATCAGACTCCCCTCACTCTGCATTTTAAAATAGCTAACCAACACCAAAACATTTTTCAACTAACATAATTAAAATCCAAGATCATTTTTTCAAAAAAAGATTAAATAGCATCGTCTTCGAATCAAACTACGAACTGCATCTACAGTCACTTAACTTACAACCAAGACAAGGTTCAAAGTAAATTCGAAAGCAATTATACACAATCTTATAAAAAACACCAACCAAACACCATGACCTACAAAATGGGACTCTGATTCCGCATAAGAGGAAACGTAGGCATACGATTAAAATGATTACAAACCCTATTTCCTAAGATCGTGCATCTAAACCTAGTATCTTTGTTAACAAGGTAGATAAGGGGTGCCTAACACCTTCCCCTCGTCTAGAACCGTGTCCAAATCTAGAATCACTGAACTTTAGGGTTATTCCTTTATACTCCCTTCCATTAGGATAAAAATTAAGGGTGGAGACTCTGAATTTAAAACCAGCTGCAACAACTGGCGACTTTGCTGGAGACTCAACCCTAGGTTTAGAAGCTTTCCTTTCGGTTTTAGGGTTTTGCTTATATTTTTGGTTTTTCTTTATTTTCGCTTTATTTATTTATGTCTTAATTATTTCTTATTATTATTCATTATGTTTATTTATCAGTGGTGGGATTTAATTTTCACAAAAAAAAAATTCAAAAAAACCATTAGAAAGAAGGTCTGTCTATTAGCCAAGGGGTTACATCAACCCTATGAGTTTATGTGACGACTTCGCCTAAATTCAGTGGAGTTCCGAAAAAGGAATACCACTCGAGAGACATCCTCTTGGTAAGTAGGACTTTGGAATGATACCTATGACTCTTTGTACGACCTTTAAGCCAAAAACTCGTGGTGAGACCTTTCATGACCTATAGACGAAAGTTTCGGTCTGTAAAGAGACTCCGCTTAAGGGAGGCCCTTATGCCTTTCCCTCGAGTGTTATTAATGATACCCTTAACAAAACTACCTTATGGGGAGGGTAGAGCAGCCGTAGGCCAATACTAAGAACCTACCTTCTAAGGATACCTTTCACAAATCCCACTACAATCTGCAAACCCGCAAGGGTTACCCCTTCATCCACTACTACCTTTATCCCATAGGTGTGATCGGTGGATCTGGGACTGACTGTTTAACGCTGGTTCGCGAAATGTCGCGGAAGCAAGAGTCGCCACCGTCTTTTATTATCTCCAAATGGAAAGGACAAAAGCACAGAAAAATTCCTTATAGAGATTGCTCTCGGTTCGGGAGATAGATTATAGAAAGGGAAGGTGTTAGCACCCTTTCTATCCATGGTTATCCATGGGCTCTTAGATACTTGCTCATTTGTGTTTTCAAAAATGGTTTGTTTGCTTTTCAACTGTGGGTTTTAAAAAAGTTCTTTGAAAATTTCAGTTCGACTCTTGTATCGGTCCTCAAGAGTGTTTGAAAAATTGCTTTCGAAAGCTTTTTGAAAAGGTGTCGGTGTGAAAAGTATTTTGATTTTTGTTTTGAAATTAGAGCAAGTATCTAGAGTCGTCTACCTACCCTAAGGAATTCGTCTGTGTAGATGTCCTTAAAGTAGTGCCATCCCACCATTGAGAGGTAGGTAGCACCACCGTTGGAGGTATTCGGGTCAATTCGAAGGTTCGGGACATGGTGATCACTGGAGCAATAGGAAGACACCTTAGAAGCTACCCTTATGCCAGGTTCCCGGATCATGAGGACTTACTAAAACATCCTCTACTCGACGATCACCTTTCAAGGGGCAAGGCAACAGTGAGGCGTACCCTAGGGGTGGTGTGTGATTTGTGTATTGTGTTCATTTATGTTTATCTTGTCATGTATTGGTGATCTACGCTTTTGTTTTTATTTTAACATTCATTCTTGCATGCAAATTTATTAACAGTTAAAAAAGTGCGGAATTTAAAAGTTCTACGCTATTACAAAGGCGCGGGTCCACATCGCCAAATTTAATCCAGGATCCGATTTGAAAATAGAAATAAAGTGCGAGAAATATAAATGTCTAATTTACATTGCTTTGGGAGAATTACATAAAAAGAGGAAATAAAATAAGCGCGCGAATTGGAATTACGATCGGATGCGAGGGCGTTGGACCCTTTTTAGGAAATTAAATTACGATCAACAAATTAATTAAGTGAAAAATAAAAAAAGAAAAGATTTTTTTTGGAGTTTTTGTATTTATGGATTTTTAATAAGAATTAATAGAATTTAAAACCTAATTCAAGCTATTTTAATTTATTAAAAAAAACATTAAAATTTAACCTAAAATTAAACTAATTAATTAATGCAATTTTAAAAATAATAATAATTAATAATTAATAATTAATATGGTGAAAAAAAGAAAAAAAGATAAAAGTGCTTAAAACCCTAATTCTACCAATTTTTAAGTTTATTAAGAAAAATATTAAAATTAATCCTAGAATAAAAAACTAAATTAATTAATATCATTTATTTACAAGAAAATAACATTAAATAAAATATATATATTTTGTGACTTTCTGATTTTTATTATTATTTTTATGTTTTATGAAAATATTAATTTATGCATTAAAAAGAAATAATCAAATTAAAACAAATAAAAATAAAATAGGGAAAAAAGAAAGGAAATGCAAACCCTTGGGGGTGTTGACCCCAGTTTGGAGGTGTTGTCTCAGCAATTAGGCCCAATAGACCCTTGGCCTTGTTGACTTTTCATGCTGGCGTGTGGCTTCGTTGACTGAGACATATCATAGGCTTTGAATCCTGGCCACTGGATGGATGCAGTGGGACGTGTGGCATGGCAGATCATGAGGCTGCATGGTATACCTCAGGGAACGAGCTACATAGAAACACGTTTAGAAGAAAAATATGGAAATAAGAAGGGGGACCTGGGGTTCGAACCCAGGTCCTAACGTTTACCACACTGATGCCCTGCCAATTGTGTTGTTGTTCTTCTTTGTTATTATAACGCAACACAAATATTATAATGAAAAGTAAGTGCAAGTGGTCTGAAGCAAAGAAACGTGCGCCAAGCTTTGAACCAACCAACCACTATCTTCCACGCATCATCTTCTTCATTGTTCTGAAACAAAAAAACATTTAAATAGCGGGGGTTTTAAACCCCCACAAAACGATGAACATGAAAATAGCGATTAGAAATTTGTCGCTCATAAATTGAGCGCGACCAGTGTACTGGATTCGTCTAAGCGTGCTGAGTTCAATGGTGTAGGTCCCATATCCCAATTTTTCCAGAACAAGGAAGCCCCAATTCATGACCTCTGAAAACCTAGAGAGCTTTAATGGTGATTTTGCATATAGGGCACGAAAATCCAATTAAAGGGCACGGTTAGCTTTAGAATGATTAACTGAATACAAACCAAACATTAAAATTTGAAAATAATGCATGAATCATGATACATGAATATGAAAAAAATCATGAACAGGACACGGTCGTTCTACCAATTCCTTGCGTTAGAAACAATGGTTTTGATCCAGAAACGTTCCTTGATGTCTCAGGAGTGCAATGGAATAGGTATCTTGCCTTGAAACGCTTTGGAACGGTGTTTTCAGTTTTGAAGTTTTCTTGAAAAAGTGCAAAGTGCATAAGAGTTTTTGGGCGCACCTTCGAGGTCCTTTTCATTAGGTCTAGCTTCTGGCTTATATGAGGGATGGATTAGGGTTGGAAAATATGTCCAAAACCTTTTGCATTGATGAAAAGAATATTTGATTTTCCATGCATATTTTTTCAAATCTTTTCATGTGATTTTGATTCCAATCATGGCCAATCTTCCCAATTTTGGTATGCACGAAATCTTGAGTATCCAATGAGTGATTACACTGTATAAAAAGATTCAAA